TCGTATTTCAAAATGCCTGTGTTTAACTTTTCAATACCACTGAAGACTCAGCACTCAGGGAAATTCCCATTCCCTCCAAGGGACTCCTTATCAAAGAGCCCAGCCTATAATCTTATCTCATTCTGCAAGCTTCCCAAGAATTCTACCTTCAGATGAATCTCTCTTTTTGATCTCCTGCCTTGACCTACTGAAAATGCAGGAATCATGAAGGGAGGGGTCCAGTTTTTGTTTTAACCTCCTCTGCATCAGTGTCACCAGTGCCATGGCATTAGATGTCTATCTATTATTTTCATTTGCTTCTTTCATCGATTCTGAATGACTTTGTTCTTATAATCACAGACAGAGGCACTTCTTTCACTTTATTCCTGCTTTATTTATTTTATTTTTTCTTTTTTATTATTATTTAAAGAGAAAGAAACAAAAAATATGGAGGAAAAAAGGGTAGAAATAATACAGAATTACAGAAAAATAAACAGTAAGAAATCACTAGTTGATAAGTTACATATTGTCATCTTAGAAATAGTTGTTCAGGTTACAAAATTAAAATGACATTCAAATAGTGACACTGCCAACAGTTCTGCTCAATGATCCAACAAAAACTTAGTAATATGGTTATCAGTCCTACACACTTGTTTTTTTATCTTAAAGAGGATAAGATTAAACATATCAAAACAGAACAAAACAGTTCATAAAGAAACAATTTAAAGAAATACAGATTTCAAAGCAAGTCCACTGGAGATCTTCACTGTCTATCTTATTGTCTCTAATTTTCTTCCAAGTAGTTGTCCTCATCTTTGTACACATTGAATACATACTGCATATTATAGAACTAATCAAATCATTACAGGATGATGAAGGCTTTTTAGGTGTTCAAGATCTGACATTGGGGAAGTCAATAATAACTAAACTGTGTCTCTCATTTTCTCCGTAGTAGCTATCCTCATCTTTACGTATGCTGAAACTGAACTTACAGAGACTAGACTAATATCACTCTGAACAGTGAATAATAGTATTGCTAGATTTTACATCATAATGTTAGAGAATTAGCATTGGGTTTCTTAGTTCTTCACAGTATCTGTTTATTATATCTTGCATTATATAATCTGTTCCCATAAATAGTTTAAGAAACTCTTCCCATGTGTGAATTTCTACATGTATATCTATACTCTCTGTATTATAGGGAAAAACAGATCTTAACAAGACAGCAAAACAAATTCCTAGAAAAACATGCAATGAAAAAGACATATAACACTACAATATTAGGTGATCTACCATAGTTACTAGGCTTTCTCTTGTTATTTTCAATAGTCTTGTCCACATCATCAGGCTTAATATAGATAAGCATAATATTACATAGCTATTTTTGTAAAAACACAACTTTGAAAACATTGTAGGACTTGAAAGTGGTTAATAATCAAAACCAGTATAGATATCTTTTAAATCTTGTGTCTTCAGAGTAGTTGCTTCTACTTTTAGACTTGATACTGTCAAGCATACCAAATTTGAATAAAATCAGCCAAGGCAAAACCGTGATCTAATAAACCAGATTCAAATAAGATCAGTCAGAGTAAGACAATGAAAGTAATACAGGGTTTCAGTTTAAGTTAATAAGAAATTAAGGATAGTGACTGTGGTATAACCTGCTACTTTGGGGTTAGATGTCTATGCCCTCAAATCTGACATGAGTTGACAGACCAGAACAAAATAAAATCAAACTAAACAGAGTGATAAGACCATTGTGACTTGTAAATCCTGATACAAGCACCTTTGTAGCCAAGATTCATAATACTGAAATCGCTGATCACATGTTCCTAACCCCTCTGGTCACACTCTTTCTCTATGCTACCTTATTGTCTATCCCTATATTTTCACCTTTTTAAAACACCAAATAAATAAAATCATTTTGTTTCTGACTTTCAATCAGCAAAATGCATCAGAGATCCCCCTATGCTGTTGTATATGTTAATGGTTCATTCATTCAATTTTCCTTGCTGAGAAAGGTTACAATGCATGAATAAAGTAGTGTATCCATTCCTGAGTAAATAACATATGGGTTGGTTCTGTTGTCCACTGTAGCAATGTCAAACATAACAATTTGTTAAGTATTTAGTAAGAGGTTTTGTGTGGATATAGATTTTATTCTGTGTGTGTGTGTGTGTGTGTGTGTGTGTGTGTTTGTGTGTGTGTGTGTGTGTAGTTGTTAGGCTTAGTTATAGTAGGATTAGTTATGTAAAGAAATTATGAGACTTTTCCTAAGTGGCTGTATGATTTTCGTATTTCACATCAGCACCAACTCCTTATGAAGGTCCCAGTAAAAACTAAGATTTGTTTTTAACTGGGAGCTGAAAACTGAGCTATACATTTTATTTTGAGACAGGATCTTGCCAAGTTTCCAGGTTGGGTTCAAATTTAAGATCCTTATGCCTCAGTTTTTGCAAGTGCAGGTAGTTTTCTATTGTAAATACTGTTTCTCCAAGTTCCTCATTCTGAGAGTATAAATTGCCACTCTGTCCTCTCCTCAGCTCAGATTTATGGACAGCAAAGTAGTACTTCTGTCAGAAAACTAATTTATCCATCTGAAAGGAATATTCAGGTGCTGGCCCAGGAGTTTGGGATCCAGTTTGTTTTCCACAAGGAAGGGGAGGAGCCAAGAATTGTAAGAGAATAAAAACAGTGTAAAAAATCCTTAGATAGTGTTCCATTGTATTTTTCTGCCCTCTTTTCCTTAGTATGAAAGCCCTTGCACGCCTGAAGAAGGTGTGATTAAAGGCTATAAGAAGGCCCTTCATCTGCTTTAGGGGTTAGTTTTACTAAGATAAATGGCTTCTCGTGTTCTTGCTGATTAATAGGTAGTTCAGACTTGAGTGCCCCTTCACATATGGACAAGACACAGAGCAGTGCCACCCCCAAACACAACGTTTTGTGGCTTTTATATGACTTCTACCTCTCACTCATCAGGTCCCTTTGCCTTCCCTAACAACTCGAGTCCATTAATGATTCTCCATTCCTAGCATCTTTCTTCTCAAAACTGATGTATAGATATATAGATGAGCATGTAACTTCATAATCCTGGCATTTTCTCATTCAGCATAATTCCCCATAAATTTAGCAAGATTTGTATGTTTCACTGATTTGTTTAGTGTTGTTTCTGACTAGTGTTCCATGAAATGGTGTACCAGTTCATTCTTTGACATTTGTTGGCAGGCTCCTGGGCTTTCAGTTTGAGGTCATTGTCTATGAAAGTGCTATTAACACTTGTATATCAGTCTTTCTGTGAACCTTACTTTTCATTTTCTTATAGTAAATGTTCAAGAGTATACTGCTTGGTCATAGGGTAATTTTATATCAAGAGAATTTTAAATTTTTTCTCAAAGTTACTGCATCATATCCCATTCCTGTTATGAGTGATCCATGCATAAAGTGATCCATTTTCTTTTCCCAAGAATGTGGTATCATCATCGCTCTTTACTGTAGCCCATTCTCATAGCTCTACATGACGTCTCATTGTTACATCTGTCTGTTTCTAGTGGCTAATGATGAACATCTTTTCACATGCTAATTCACTGTCTCTATGTTATATCCAAGAAAATTTAGTTCTCATTTTTTTACCCTTTTTCTAGTTGGATTGTATTTGTTTTGTGTTTACTGTTCAGTTCTGAGAGATCATTCTATACTCTGCACACGAGCTGTTTTTTCAACTCATTGTTTTTTCAATATTTGTGGTTTGCAAAAATTTCTCCCAATCTATTCATTGGCTTTTCTTTTCACTAACAGAGTCTTTTGAAGAACACAAGAGTTTATTCTTGAAGAAGTTAAACTTATCAATCTTTGCTTTATGTATCCTAGTAAAAAGTTTCTGCCTAACCCTAGATCTTGAAGGACTTTCCCCTTGCTTTTCTAAGACATTAAAAAAGTTCCCTCTGTTTTGTGTGATCATGTTTACTGTGTCAAATGATGGTGTTCTGTCCCCTTACTGCACTGTGACAATTGTGCCTGCAAGCTCCCATTTCAATGCTGCCTTCAATGCTCCACACATGTGAATTTTCTGATCACTTCTGAAAGAGCCCAGGACCTTGACTGCAGGACACACTCATGTATTTGAAGTGGTGGAGTACATTTCTCACTCAACACTAAAGATCTAAGAAACATAGGGTTAGACATTAACAACAGGACACATCTTAAACTTAAGTTTTACATCTTAAACTCAGTTCCTCTCTTCTCAGCAGAAAGCCACTAACAAAGCCAGAAAAAGGAGAAAATAGATTTGCTTGAAAATATTCTACCTTCTATGATAAAAGAGAATAAAGATGTCCTAAATAGGCAGAGCCTGGGGCATCTCCACCATGGCCTGGACCCCTTTGCTACTTCCTCTCCTCACACACTGCACAGGAGTTGCCAGCAGGGCTCAGCCACCATAGATCCAAGAAACATCCTGGTCCTCAACTTCAGCTCAGCACACAGAGTGCTGCAGGGCATGGGATGCTCTGAAAATAGGAACCTCATGATCAGATTCACCTCTCTGTCCTCTCTTGCAGACTCCCTAGTCTCCTCCTCTGAGCTGACATAGCTGCCTGTGGTATCCATGTCCTTGGGACAAACTGTCAGGATCCACTTGCCAGGCTGATATCTCAAGAAGCTGTTATGCAAACTGGCACCAGCAGCACCCAGGCCAGCCCCCTGTGGTAGTCATCTGTGGAGATAGCTACCACCCCTCAGGGATCCCTAGCAGATTCTCTGGCTCGAGGTCAAGGAGAATAACCACCCTGATCATTACTGAGGCCCAAGTTGAAGACGAGGCTATTACTTTCATTTGTGTGATAGAAGTAGCCATCATTTCATAGTGCAACAGACTGATGGGGAAGTGAGGCAAAAACCTCTTCCCTGTCTATGTCATACTCTCATTATCAATGAATTTCAAGAAAATATAGAGAAATAATAAAATAAAATAAAATAAAATAAAATAAAATAAAATAAAATAAAATAAGGAAACAATTTAACAGGTATGCTGGAAGAAAGAGAAGAAGCAAAACTGAGGCAGAAGAAAAAAAGAAGAGGAAAAAGAAGAAAGGAGGGAGAGAAGGAAGAAGAGAAGAGGAGAAGAGGAGGTATTGGAAGAGGAGGAAGAGGAAGAGGAATGATCTTGAGAGAGGGAGAAGCATATGACATTCTCTGAAGGAAACAGACACAAAACACTCCACATGCAGAGACGACAGGTGCTGAGTCAGTCTGCTCAACCCTGAAGGGATCATCCTCCCTGAGATAGAAATGATCACGAGGGTTCCCAGGGTGCTGCCGGAGTGGGGTCCAGATGGAGTTAACAGGACTTCCCAAGTTGACAGCTTCCAGGGTTGGCTGTGCTACAGCCATAGAAACCTGGTCCTCCTAGTCAGTTCCTCCCAGCAGCATTCCTAGGTTACTCCTTCCTTCAAGTTCCTCATTTTGTCCCCATCTCTTCCCTGTATCCTTACCTCCATGGTCTCTCCTCTCTCTGCCTGTCGAATCAAAGCTTCTCCCAGAACATCCAGCCCCCTCATCTCCATCACACCAAGCAAAATAGAGGAGACCAGGCCCAAAGACATGCATATTAGTCACTTTCTTGTCACTGGACACAATACTCAACACCCACAGATTAGAGGAGAGGTTTAAGGTGGCTCATGTTTCAGGAGATTCAGTCCATGCTCATTGCTTAAAGACATAAATGGCATAGAAGAGGGGTGTGAGGAGGGAAAGCTTTCACCTCATAGCAGTCAGGAAGCACAGAGAGAAGGAAGGAGCAATACAGCCTTCAAAGTACACATCCCAATTCCTGATAGCACATCAGTGGATGAATTCACTGATGACTATAGCACCCCATGATCTAATTACCTTCAAAAAGTCCCACCTTTGAAGTTATGAGACTTCGGGGGATATCTTAGACCTACATATTTATATACATCCCGACACTTACAGCTCCACTCAATGCAGGACAGCCATAAGGGCATTACATCCAATACCCCCTGAGATGGTCATCCTCCTCCACTGCCAGTTAGATATCAGGGCACTTCTCTGAGTACCTGGGACCCTCTGAGTCCCTGGGACCCTTACATCCCTCAGAAGCAACTCATTAGTACCCACTAGAAGGCACCAGGGCCACCCAACCTCAGGTGAGGCCCTCTGAGGTTGAATTCCTCTTGGATTCCTCATGCTGCCCAACTGAACTCCATCTGTTCATACCTTTTCCATGGCTGAAAGTCCTTAGTTACCTAGTTGGAATGGGACCCTAGTTAGATCCTATTTCCTTAATCATAGAATAACTGTCTGTGGCTCAAAGAAAAGAGAGACTGGTTTTAACAAGAAAAGATTTCTTCATTGATTAATTCTTTCATTCCTTCATTCATCTATATTCATGGTTATTTTAATTCATTGCTTGTACGGTTATTTATATTCAGAAGAACGGCTCTCTATTTACAATGCAGATAGAAATTAAAGTGAAGAAACTGAAATTTGGTTTTCGTGAAAATGTGTCCATGTTATTACTACATTTTAGAATATTTTACCCTCTATAGAGTCAAGGTAGAGTCAGTCAGGTTTGCATATCAGCACCTCCCAGAAAATGGGCCCAAAGCATCACTTCATAGAGACAGGTAAAAACCTGCAATGTGACAGGCAGAGGCCTCTCCCTGCTTCCAAGAGGAAGCAATGGCAGTAGAAAAGGGGAACTAGAATCATCATTGCTCCTTCTTTTTCCCTCTGGTCTTGGATGTTCTGGGAACCTATATAGCAGCATAGATGCCACTGACTCAGAGCCTCACCCTCCCTGGGGGGAATATCAGGGGAAAAGCTGTCTGCTGAGCTGTGGAGTAAGAAGACAGAGCTCTGAGATGTAACAATAATTACAGGGTCCCCCTCACATAGGTAACCTGTCCAGGTCCTAACTCCAGCCACAGCCCCATAGGACCCTGAGCTGTTCTTTGCTGTAGATCCTCTGCTGAACAGAGTAGGACCCAAGAGAATGAGTTCCTCAGTCCCTTGTACCTACAAGACCTGGGGGCACCAAAAAATCAGATTCTCCCATTAAATTAGGCTGAGACCATCTGTCACTCAGCTGGTGAGGAAAGAGGATGCATTATCTACTTTCCTACTGGGACAAAACATCTGACTGGAGAAGAGGTTCATTGGATTATAGTGCCCATGAGGTTCAATCCAAAGTCAGCTGCTTCCTATGTAAAACTGCATGGTAGAGAGGCATGGAAAAGAAAGCTGCTGAGTCCATGCCAGCCAGGAAGCACAGAGAGAAGGGAGACACTGGAAACAAGGATGATCCTCTCCAGGTCACAGGAACAGTGACTTACCTCCAATCAGGTTCCACCTTCCAGTGCCACACCCAGCTACTGAGCTCACTAAGGTGTAAATCCACTGATAAACATAGAGTTGCCATGATCTAATCACCTTCCAAACATGTGAGCCTCCTGGGGGAAACCTCAATCCTAACAAGGACAGAGGAGATCAAGTAACAATACAGAGAGAAGCAGCAGAAGCTGGGCCGGTCCTGCACAGTGCAGTACAGCATAGCACAGAACAGCTCAGTACAGCACAGCACAGCACAGCACAGCAGCCTCCCCACTCCTACAGGTTCCCCAGCTCTAACCTGAGTGCAGCCCAGTGGACATGACCTGATGGCTGAGTCAGGCTCCTAAGTCACTGAGGGGACACTGGGAGCCAAATAGAACACAAGACATGCTGTGCAACTTAGCTTCCAGAGTCCTCCATAAACCCACTATGGTCACGCTCTAGAAGCAAGGAGTTGAATTCTGGATAACTGAGGTAACACCTAAATTTGACACCAATATTTTCACTTCTGTAAGAAACAGAACCTCACTTTATCTGCTGTGAAATTGGAAGGTTTGCAATGATCTTTTATGAAAACTATCTAGAATACTGATAGAAAGGACAAGATGGGTCCCATTAATTAAAAAGAGTTGCAGCCTTGGTTTCATAGACCGACACATTCCTTGGCATCCTCTGTACCTCTAAGAAGATCCTCCCCAAAAGCTAAGCAAATAGTGTGTTATAAGATTCTCAGTTTTATCAGAAGTACCTACTAGGCCCATACAGGAGGCTTAACAAATAGGTGAAGAAAAGAAATAATAATAATTATGATGATGATGATGATGATGATGATGATGAAGATGCTGATGAGATGCCAATGGTTGTGGGAAGCCGCCTATGAATGGCGCCCATTTCCTGCTTCCGGGTTCTTCCCGGCCTGAAAAAGCCCGCCAAATTGTCATATCTGCCCAGTTACCCGTGACGCTAGCCTATCAGCTTGTTAGGCGCGCTTCTCTGTGATTGGATACTGCTTCCCCTTATAAGAGGTTGTTCCTGCCCCCAACGGCGGAAGAGGAAGCAACACTGAGGGTGGCGGACCTTGTCAGGTCCGGTTCGCTGTACGTAATAAAGTTTGAGAGCTGATCCTGCTCGAGTTTGGTCTCCTGTCTCCCGCGGCTCCGGTCATCTGGTAGCCCGCACGGGGAAGGTTCAGCGACGCGCGGGCGCGACTGCTGTCACCTGCGGTACGACGGAGAACCCGGCTCAATAACAACGGAAGGCCCCGAGCACCTCTTCTCTTCACCCTGATCAGCTACGTGAGATACAGCGGTTCCCGGGACAGGTGAGTACTGAATCGCCTGGGTTGGGTGGATGCACCTAACAGATTTTGAGCGCCACACGGGTGGACGCCGGTCCTTTTTTTTTTCTTTCCCCTTGCATTTGTTTCACTTTCGCTTTGCCATTATGGGCAACGCTGCTCGCAAACCCCTCGCTGACTCCCTAAGAGTCCTGCTGCGGACCCGAGGCATCTACATAAACCGGGTCACCCTTTCGAGGTTTCTGGATAGTGTTAATGAGATTGCCCCCTGGTTTTGGCCCACGGGCTCTCTAACCCTCCCGTCATGGGAGAAGTTAGGAGGGGATCTTAGATGCGCCCGAGAAGAGGGACGCTTGGATCCCATGGTTTTACCCCTGTGGGAACTGATTAGGGCTTGTCTGACGGACAAACAAACCCCCGGGCTTTGCTCAGCCCGACAGGCTCTTGACAAAGCTCGATCCGAGTGCTCGGAGGAGCCTGAAGTCACACCTGACTTTGGGCCTCCAGAGAAACACAAGGGCTACGATTCTGATTTGGATTCGGAGGGCTCAGAAGAGGAGGTCGTCTTTGCTAAGCATGACCCTCCTACACCGTTAAAAAAGGAACCTAGGGCTCGGGAAGATAAAAAGGGGAACCAAACACCACCCTGCCCGAGCTACTCTGCTTCGAGGGAAGAACTTAGGCCCTTCCGCTCCTTGGCAAGCTCGCGACCCATGGTCGCCCCCTTTAGGACGCCAGGCCCTACTGCACCGCCGTGGCCGGAAGAGGAGTTGCTCCCTGGGCTGCCACCTCCACCCGTGGCCGCCGGAGGGCGCCCACAATCCATGGCACCGCCCTGGTTAGAGGGAGAGCTATTTCCTGGGTTACCTCCTGCGCCCCCTTCTGGGGGAGGAGGAGGACGTTCCTTCCACCAGAGGGTATGGTCGCGGCTTCCCTTTGAGTGTCCCAGTCTCCATGCATTCCCGGTACAAGTAGGAGGCAGGGGAGGAGGAGGATATTATGAGCCCTTAGAAATTAAACAACTTAAAGCTATCAAGGATGCAGTTTCAGCTTATGGGCCCAATGCACCATTTACCATGACGCTTTTAGAGGCATTGGCTGGCCTGTATTTAACTCCGGGAGATTGGACCCAGCTGGCGCGTGCCTGCCTTTCCCCCGGACAGTATTTAGATTGGAAGTCTTGGAATGAGGAATTCTGCGTAGAGCAGGCGGCGGCTAACCGGGAACATGGCCAAAGAGATTGGAACAGAGACATGTTATTAGGGCGAGGAGCTTTCGAGGAAGATCAGACCCAGTACCCTCGCCAGGTTTATGAACAAATCAGTCGCTGTGGCCTTCAGGCCTGGAGACGGCTGGCTGGAAAGGGAGAGCATACGGGCCACCTCACAAAAATTTTACAACAGCAGGGGGAGCCCTTCTCCGATTTCGTGGCCCGCATGCTTGAGGCCGCTAACAGAATTTTTCCAGACGCTGAGGCGGCTCACCCTCTCATAAAACAACTGATTTTCGAACAGTGCACTAAAGAGTGTCGTGATGTCCTAAGGTCCAACAAAAATAGGTCTTTAGAAGAGTGGACACGCCTGTGCCGTGAACTGGGCGGCCCGGTAACTAATCACGGGCTCGTTGCCGCCATGGTCGCTGCCCTTCAAGGCGCTGCCAACGGAGGCAAGCCTCGGGTAGGGGGCAATAGAAATAAAAATAAAAACAACACTTCTTGCTTTGGCTGTGGCCAACTAGGACACATTAAGCGTAATTGCCCCAACAAACAGATCGGGCAGGGAGGAGCCCCTGGCCCTGGATTATGCCCAAGATGCCAAAAAGGTAATCATTCAGCAGCCGAGTGCCGGTCGATATTCGATAAAGATGGCAATAGGCTTTCAGGACGTCCAGACAATCAGCCAAAAAACGGCCGAAGGGGGCCCCTCCTGCAGGCGGGGCCCCCTCTGGCCCAAACCTTCCTTCAGTTCCAGCCCCAGCAACCACAAACACCCCAGGTCCCTTTAGGCGGGCAACCCCAGGCTCAGCAGGGCTGGACCTCAGTGCCTCCTATTAACACCTCCGACCTCCGACCTCCTATTAACACCCGAGATGGGAGTACAATTAGTTGAAACCTCCCTGCCAAATCCCCTTCCGCCAGACACGGTCGGACTTCTATTGGGGAGGTCCTCGGTGGCACTCAGGGGCCTTACAATCATCCCAGGTGTAATTGACTCAGATTTCACTGGCACAATCAAAATTATGGTTCAAGCCCTACAAGGCACGATTATCATTAATAAAGGAGATAAAATAGCCCAGCTGTTGGTTCTACCAAGCCTTCATAAAAACTTCCCCGCGAGAAACCTGACCTGAGGCGCTCAGGGCTTCGGCTCTTCCGGGGATACCTTTGAAGGCTTACATTTGACGTTGCAAGAACGTCCTATGCTAACCATTGACATCAATGGCAGACCCATTAAAGGCTTGCTTGACACAGGAGCAGATCGCTCAATCATTTCACAAAAAGATTGGCCTAGCTCTTGGCCCACAGATGTGGCATCCCAGAGCCTACAGGGGCTTGGGTTTGTCCACGCCCCTAAGGTGAGTGCTTCGCTCCTGACATGGCGCGACAAGGAAGGTCATTCTGGTCACTTCCGTCCCTTCGTACTCCAGCTTCCCGTATCTCTATGGGGAAGAGATATTTTGACAGACATGGGCATCACCTTAACTAACATCTACTCCCAAAAAGCTCACTCCACGTTGCTAAAACAAGGGTATATCCCTGGAAAGGGCCTAGGCATTCACCTACAAGGCCGAACCTCGCCTATTCAAGGCAGCCCCAAACAAGACAAAAAAGGACTGGGTTTTTCCTAGGGGTCACTG